CCCATCTGAGTGGTCATCTTTACCCTAAAGTGAATTTCGTTGCTGTCCTGGAAAGAGAAAAAAGCGGAATCTCAGCGGGGATCTTGCGCGACGCGCGATAATTGTGGGACAATCGGGGACGTTTTTGGCATGCATCGCTTACGTTTCCGACGACTTTCAGCTTGATGTATTCTGAATTCGCGTCGCCTGGGCCGGCTTCGGGCTTTTGTTCCTGGTGGCACACGCGGAAAGGTTAGAACGCTAGTTTAAATTCTCTGTCTCTCGCTCGGCGAGATCGCGGTGCGGGACATTTTCCCGGCGGGCCGCCGATCGTCTCGCCGGCGGCGTCCGCGGGCGCGGGATCGCGGCGCGGCGAGATCGCGGGGACGCCGGATCGCCCGTACCCGGGGCCCTGCTTACCTGATTGTCGGACATCGTTATTCAATTAAATTACACCAAACTTTCTTCACCACGCGCCAGAAACGCTAACCAAACACAAGCTCCGCAATATGGCGCTGTGCTTTTGTCAGTTTCACAGTCTACTCGCTTCTTGTAGCCGGGACTGCCGAGAGCGAAAGAACCCGTAACGGTCGCGCCGTTCGCAAACGCATCTGTTTTTCTCTCGCGACGCGAGTCGAGTTATGTTAGGTCAAGGGTCAGATTAGGTTACGGAGGGGAAGGAGGACGCGGTTTATGGCGTTTACGAATTCCTTTAGGTGGTCGCGTTTCTTCAGAATACATTTTCTTTCTCTGTTATTTTCATATTCCGTGCCACAAATTGTATGTATGTACAATTGAGGTTATGTATCGAAAATTATCTTGTAGGTTATGTTGTTAAAGATTAAACGGATTGTAAAGGAATATGATATGGTATGTAAAAAGAAAATTTTAGTTTCAGATTATTTTTCTGCTTATTAAGTACCGCATATATACATCTTTATGAATAAAGAACTTAATTAAAAAAGATATTTAATTTATTAATTTATTAATAATTTATTTTTAACTTTTACTTACGAATGAGATAATCAACTTCCCTTTTCGCAGAACTAATGAGGCGGCACGACAAAGTCCCTTTCTCCTTGAGGCGTTTAAACATTGAAAATTATGCCTTTGAGTGACGAAACGAGCGTTGCGATCGAAGCGAGGAAGGACAGGAAGAGTGTACGCAAACAGAAACGTGCTCATCACCGACTGCTCAGAGATATGAACATCAAATGTACCGAGCAACCTACGCAGGTAAACGTCTCGATATATTAGAATACGGAGTTCGTTGTATCGACGACTGTTGGAGCTTGATATTCCACGCAGCACCTGATGATTTGCAACGGCGGCCTGGTTACCGGTATCAAGAGAGAAACGTTGCAATGTGTGTTAGACGCCCTGATCTCCAAGTACACTCTGATAATGCCAGCGGGCAAGTCGTACTGCTTCGTGACGTGCAACTCGAGGGAGGACGCGACATGCGTGTACAATTACATTCACGGGCGCATTAAGCTTCCTGGCCAGAATGGCCCGTTATATGTATGCTATACTGAAACAGGTGTACTGTCGTGACAGAATTATGTAATGCCAATTATAATTTGGAATCCCTTTATGTGACGATTTGATGCTCTCTCTTTAGTTTCCACCACTGACTACGTTACGTCCGATTCTACATTTCCTCCCGGTCTCACGTTAATAGAGAATTTTATAACGGAGGAACAAGAGGAAACTCTGTTAGGAACGCTCAACTGGGACGAATGTGGTAAAGACTTACGATGTGATTGAATGAGAGCAATTAAGGAAAGGCCAGCTTAAAGGAGATCGTTTTACATTTTCTTTTTTGACTGCTGTTGCAGAATCTGTATCGTCGCAACTGAAACACAGACAAGTGAAGCATTTTGGATACGAGTTCGAGTATGGCACGAACATGGTGGATCCTGACAAACCTATCCCGCCGATTCCCCAGGACTACAAATTTCTGCAAACTCTATTCGACAAGCATGGTCACAAATACACTTACGATCAGTTGACCATCAACAAATATCTGTCTGGACAAGGTAGCGCCCCAATACCTCCATAAAATTATACTTTCCTAAAAATGTAAACAAGGTAAATGATATTTCGTCGATTAACCATTCTGGTTTCTTAATAATATATTGACATCAATTCATGTAAATTATAATAAATTCAATATTTTAATCATAAAATTAAATACAATTGAGTTAATTTATCATGCAGTAGCAATTATTTTTTTTCACTCATTAATTGAGAACGATCATAACGAATAATTCTAATAAATACGCACAAGTTTATGAACTTGATTTGGACATTAAACTATATTATAATGATCTTCGATTATATATTCAAGGTATACCATCGCACATCGACACGCACAGCGTCTTCGAGGACACGATATTATCCCTGTCACTTGGATCAGCGTGCGTCATGAACTTCAGGAAAGATGATCGGAAGATCGATGTTCTCCTGCCAGCCAGATCTCTGTTGATCATGACGGAAGAAGCGAGGTACGCGTGGATGCACGGCATCTCTCCTCGTCACAGTGATATAATCAAGACAGAAAATGGGACCACGACGCGGGAGCGTGGTACCAGGGTGTCCTTCACCTTCAGGAAAGTGCGACGGGGCGAATGCTGCTGTGATTTCAAAGACTACTGTGATACCGCGAAACGTGATACTTTCATCGATGCCAAGGTGGCGTCGGGATTGGAAAATTCATATGTGCACAAAGTGCGTGGATTATTCCTCATATAGCTTGCGAATATTTTATTTCTTTATTACTGAAACTATGTGTGCGCTCTCACAGGTTTACGAGGAAATATCCAATCACTTCAGCGAAACACGACACAAACGATGGCCCAACGTGACTAAATTCCTCGAAAGTTTGGAAGAGGGCACATTGTTGTTGGACGTGGGTTGCGGAAACGGCAAGTACCTTTGCGGAGATCAGAATGTATATAAGGTATTTTTTACTATTTCAATGATTCCAGATATTTAATTATATAGGCATATATAACTAGAGACGAGATTGAATGTACACGTTTCGCATTATACCTTTTTGAGCCAAGGCATTATTAATCCCGAAGACTATTTTAGATGGGATGCGATCATAGTTCCGGATTGATGGATATATGTCGCAAGCGAGGCTTCGAGGTTCTTCAGTGCGATTGCCTGTATCTGCCGTATAGAGACGATTCCGTGGATGCGGCGATCAGCATCGCAGTTATTCATCATCTGTCGACTCAGGAACGAAGGCAACGCGCCATTTCCGAGATGATTCGAGTGCTGAGGCCAAGAGGGACGTGCTTGATCTACGTGTGGGCGATGGAGCAACGGAAAGATTCCTCGGATTCGTTTTATTTGAAGCACGGCAAAAGAAGCAAGGAGACGGAAAAGGTCGACCGAAGCGCAATCAATCAAAGAATCTCCGAGTGTCACTTAACGTTACCGATACACGAAAACAGAACGAACTTCGCTCACAGTGACATGCTGGTTCCCTGGAAGAAGAAGAGCGGCGAATGTTTTCTGAGATATTATCATGTATTTCGGGAAGGCGAGCTCGCGAAACTGTGCATGGAAATACCCGCGGTCTCAATCAAGAAGGTGTACTACGACCAAGGCAATTGGTGTGTGATTTTGGAGAAATGTACAGAGATCGTGGAATAAAAACTAAATTGACATCTGACCTAATTGATCTTCCAAATTTATTATATATTTTTCAACGAATCTAGGCGTTATCTCCTATCTCTTCGATGTCTATTAAGTCTATTACTGGAATCTCTTTTTTTTCCGGAGATGGCGATTTGACGAGAACTTGATCGTCCGAATCAGATGTCCAATCGTGTGTCCAATCGTAATCGTCACGATTTTCTTCTTTTTTAAGTGAATCCTGCAAGAACATTACGAAATTATTACATTATTATTATTAGATACCAATTTGAGCTGCAAAAATAATAAGGAGATTATTGCAATACTAAGTACATTCCTTTTTTGTACTTACGTTGAAAACGGGTACTAATTCAGCAGATCCTTCTTTGTGTTTTATGATACGGCTCTTGTTCTCATCCTCCACTTCCATATAATCATCTGTAAAATTAAATTATTTACTGTATTTTATACATCATAAATAATTGAAATTAAATTGACCTTTAATTTTAATTCTTCAATTTAATAAATACTAATTTTAATTAAATAACTATAAAAAAATTGAAGTTAATTTACTTCGATTTGTAATATAAGACAATCTAATTTAAAAAAATTTTTAATTTTAATGTGTACATGTACATATTAAACAAGAACAATTGAATGAAACGTATACCTTCGACTATAACTGTTGCGTCCCATTTACATAATTTAATACTAATGTGATCGCCGATCGTTGTCGTCAGCTTATTCACTTGAATGCTCTCTTTAAATCTGGATATGTTGCTGTCATCTTTTCTGTACCTAGAGTACATATACATAGAGTTTTTAGAATGCTTTATTCATTTTCAAAAAGTCAGTACCTTTATAAACTTATTAAAGATTACCCATGAATATTTAGATTTAATTACTTATTACATTTTATATTCATAAATGTATTAAAATTGAATCGATATACAATATAAATAAGATGTGTTCGAGAGCAACGTACCGTGATTGTACATCCTTGATTACCGCCTCCTTGATCTGATTCACCAAGTTCATTGCGTAATTAGCCGCGTGATTAGAAACAGCTGATATGACATCCTCGATCGTCATGGTCTTTGTTAAATAATCGAAGTGCAAGCTACAAAGTTCCCTATAAGAGTTTACACCGAGAGTAAGCTCGGCGACACCAACTCTTTCTTCTGTGTAAGTAGGGTCCATTATGGTGTTGCCACTGTGAAATTTTACTTAGATTTTCATATTACTCGCGCCATATGGACTACAAACTGTTGAATTTTATCGATGTTTTTTTCAAGTAAGAGAAGATTTCTTTGTATCTTGCGTATATAAATTTGTCTTGCCCAAAAAACCAACCTCTTGAAAGTTATGAAGGATATGCAGACCGGATAATGAAACAACGTCAACGGCAGAAAATCTTTCTCGGAAGCCGGATGTACGATGACTTCCTCGCCGGTCGACGTGACGTCCGGCCTATGGAAATGCATAAGGGCGGCAAGTGTTGCGATAGAGGCGCAATCCACCAGATTTCCATCGTGATTTATGATATTAACGTCGATTCTTAAATTCCACACCTGAATGAAGGAACTCATAAGTACATATATCTACATTGTTGTGTAATATTTAATGACGTCAAGCGTTCTTCAGTGACCTTCTTATCTGCTACAATACAGAGAGACTCCAGGTCTATACACTTCGAGTCCTTAAAACATTTCTCCAGCTGCCTACTGATCAGTATAGCCGCCTCGGACTGTCTACCGCTCTCGAAGTGTTGCGCCGCTAGTGGAGTGAGTTCGACATTTATGCGTATCATGCCTTCGTTAGGACGAGACGTTTTTGGCTGCTGTATGTCGCACGACACCTGCGCTACTGCTCTGTAAAGTGATTTCTCTTCTCAATGTATATACTCACTTTTGCATACTTACTGAAAATAATCTGTATATGTCGTTAAATAAAATTCACCTTGTATGTCCAAGCGACACCATGCAACATCCCCAACTGGAGCCAAAGTAGATCTTCACAAAACGCGGTTCCAATAATTTTCGACCGTCCAGCCTCTGAAATATAACAGATTTATTGAAAATATTATTATTACATATGCAATGATATATGAAGAACGTAACTTTAAGCATATTCCAAAAATTTACATCGTTAAATAAACCTTTAAATAATATAAATTATAATTGAACTTTTAACTGATAAATTTATAAAAAAAGTATGTATAGTTACCGTTTCCTCCTCTATACATTTGTTTGTAAAATTTCGTTCGCAGTTAGTAAGCGGAGTCTCCTTCATCTTTCGAAAATTTCTTTTACAACAAGAAAGCGCTGAGACTCGCGGTTTTATACGCGATAAATAATTTGCGGTTCGGAGTTTGTTTATGATAGCTTTATAAATAAACGTCACGTGCGAAACGAACCGAGAGTTTAAACAATGTAGACAGGCGGCATTGCTAGATCAATGGTCCTATGTTGAATTGTCCAATTGGCGACGTGGGCAATCGAGTACCATTCGATCGGACATTCCATGCGATTTGTTCGACTTCCCGGAGTTCCCGGCTCATTTCTATCGAAATCCGGAAGTGTCCGGAAAGGATATGTGCGGATGTCATTTGGTACATTTTCCGGTATGTATCGCGGATCGCGTTTACATCCGAAAATAAACATTCGGGTTTTCCTTTCCCCGTTCGATCTCCCGCGCTCATCGAGATACGCGAATTGGACACTGGACGTATGATCGAATGCGCGTCGCGCATATGGAGATGGAGGCTGCATTCCGATATATTCACTGTCAGTACTGCAAATCTATATTTTACGTCACGTGTACTATAGATTTTCAGTACTGAAAGTTGCTGACGGTGAATATCGGAATGCAGCAGCCGGAGTG